CGCCAAACCCTGTCTACTCCTGTGAGGAGTCTCAGGCTGTGTTCCCCCCCCCCTCCCCCTCCCCGGACGTATTTATCTCAGTTTTTTGCCTTTTTTCCCCTTGCCGCAAAAAGAGAAGCAAACTGTTCCTGGTCCCGGCCCAGGAGCAGGTGACCAGGAGCATCTTAGAAAGAGCAGCTTTTATTAGGAAATAAAAAAAAAAAAAAAGGCACAGACAAAACCAAGTCCTTTCCAAAGCCTAACAAGCAAGATCAGATCCAGGGGCAACAGTAGAGTCCCACACCGAATTTGGACCCCACAGCGGTTGCTCAAGGCATAGCCCTAACCCATTGGATGGCCCCGGCACAAGGATTTGAGCATCATTTTATGGGCTGCCCATGGCACCCTAAAGCCGGCCTCGAGAGAGCACCCCGCTTCCCTGCTGGGTGGGCTCAGCAGCTCAGGGGGTGCAGGACCGGGGGTCTACACAGCCACGGGCAAAGGGCTCAAGAGGAAAGGCGAGAGAGAAATGGGGTTTGCAGCAGGGGCCCAGCACAGGGCACTCAGCTCCATGCGACCCCAAAAATAGGGCCATGGCCAGCCCACCTTTCTCGTACTGCTAAGTGAAAGGGGTCACTGCTTGTAGGTGGCAGGGAGGTAAGGGCAGGGTGGAGAATGCCAAGTCTGTCTCTGGCTCAGCTGCATGTTGGAGGGAAGCACCAGGGCCATCAGGTCCACCCTTCTTCCATGAGACATCCCCAAGCCACACTGGCGCATGTGTGACTTTGCAAACATCATTTGCCTTCGGTTGGATCCCTCCAGCAGTGACAGCCTGGGAGGGGGGGTGACATCTGCCTGTGCCACCTCACCCCCCACGAGCCAGGCAGCAGGGATGGACATGGTCCATGGACGTGCAACTGAAAGTCCCTTGGCCAGGCAGCTGCGTGCCCCACTGCCATCATCCAGCTGCAAGACAGGCGTATAGGTTGATCCCCTTTGCAAGCGCAGTTATGGGGCACAGGCAGAGATTAGGAGCAAAACACCAAAATTGTTTCAGGGAAACAAAGCGAGAGTCTACCTTCAGCATTTGCAAGAAGCCTCCAGGCCTGGGCACTCCCGGACAGGCAGTGAGTGCAGACTGGGGGTGCAGGGATAATTTTCCAGCCTTCTTCCTTCCCATCCCACCAGCAGAGGACCCCGATGACCTGGGGTGCACCCACACGTGGCGTGGGGGACTCTCGTGGCAGTGGGCCGCTGGGCGGTTGGGTAGGGCTGGGCTTTCATCTTCAGAGCAAAACAGTATTTCCCAGATCATCTGGTATTATTACAGCTGAGATTATTACAACTGGAAAAGAAAGTGAGAAACCGTGAGGCCGGGCCTGAGGCTGCAAACCCCCCAAAAGGCAGCTGCTTTAACCAGGGCCATACCTGTCCTGAACAGGGAACAGGGCAGGCAGGCACCCCCTAAATCCCACCACATACCACTTCCCTTTCTCTCCCAGACCAGACCCCTTCTCACTCTTACAGCTGCCTCCAGTTGTCCCCTCCTGCTGACTCCCCCAAATCATGGGGTCCTGGATGTCCCACACGACCCCTCTGCCCCCCATAGCCTGGTTCTCCCCCGCCTGCCCTGTGGGTGATGCACCAGCAGGCAGGTCCCAGCTCTGCCCCCAGCTCAGAGGATGCACCAGTTTTCAGAGCAGCTCCATGTCTACCTTGGTGTCTCCAGGGGTGTCTCCAGGCTGCTTTACCCAGACATCACGGTTTGGCAGACTGTTTATTTTCCTGATGTCCTGCAAACAGGAGAGTCATAAGTAAGTGGCACAAGAAGGTTTTCCCCATGCATCATGTGCAGTGTTGCCTTGGTCTGACGTTAACCAAACCTTGAAGCATACATGCTCCAGGTAAAACCAGCCAGCTTTGAGATCCTGCACCTGGTAGACCCTCAAAACCAAGTGCAGCTCCAGCCCACAGAGATGGAGGGCAGCCAGCGTTATTATAGGAAAAACATAAAGGAGCTGCAAGCTTTACCCAAGAGTGACCCCAGGAGCAAACCCTTTCCTGGCAGACGCCGAGCCAGCACAGCTCCCAGTACAGACACGTTTGGGCAGTGCTAATCTCTGCAGCTCCGCGCTGGGGGTGCCCGGGCTTGTTTGCCCCGGCTGCCGGGCTGGGCTGGAGCTGCCCCTCCTGGTCCTGTACACGGACGGCTGCAGGAGACTGCTACGGGCAGTGGCAAAACATCTCATTGCTGCAGACAGTGATACCTCCCCAGGACTTGCTGAACCTCTCCTTTCCAAGTACAGTCAACCAGCCTGAGGCCAAAGGGTCTCCTGTCCATCTCCCTCATGTCCATGTCCCTGGAGCAGCCACGGTGGCAAAGTGCTGACCTCTGAGTCCCCTTAGCTGGGAACTTTGCCCCACAGCTACAAGACACCCTACTTTTGGGGTGTGGGATACACACAGCGATGCAGATGACTCCAGACCCCACATGCAGCAGGACCTCTCAGTGCACACACAGTTCTCCACACCCTGCAGAGAACTGAGCACCAAGCATGTAGCTCATCTCCCAGTGGCCTGCAGCTCAGAGCTAGTCCTCCAGACACTGGTAGAGATGGGATAAGGCTGGGGTGATCTCTCTCACTGCATGAGGTCCTCCTGCACGTCCCCTGGGACACGCACCCAGCTGGTGCCTGCTCCTTCCTCACCCCACCAAGGGCTGGGAGCAGCTGGGCAGCTGCCTCAGGCACTTTTGGCTCAGGACCAGGGGACAGCAACAAGCAGAGACCCAACATCTCGCCGTGGTGGCCCTGCAGCACCCAAACCTCCGACCCTGGCTAAGCTCCTCGCAAACCCTTTAATGGGTTCAGCCAAGGGTTCATCAACCCTTCAAGCCCCACCACCCCAGATGCAGGGACGTGTCCCACCAGGCTGCCCGGTCCCAGGGCTCTAGCACGAGGTGTCGCCACAAGCCAGTACCTTGCTCTTTTCCTCCTTGGCAGGCTCCTGAGCTCGGCTGATCCACAGGTTAATGCGGGATGTCACTGATCCCGGGATCTTCATGTTGTCCTGTGGCACAGAGAGGGACACCAGGGTTACAGCACCAGCTCTCCACCACACAAACATAACCCGGGACAGTAGTCAGCGCACAGGGAGGCTGAGCAAACCTGCAACAGGCAGAGACCAGCCTACACCTTGGCTCCCTCCCAGCTCCTCAAATACCAGCGCATCGGCACGAACCCACACACTGCCAGAGCACAGTTTCGGTGGCAGCCGGTGCCTGAGCCCAGCCCTGCCTGGTACCGCTCGACAACCACCAAACTCCCACCAAACTGCATCCAGGCAGCATCATGCCGGGCTGTGCATTGGTATCCAAAGAGGGGAAGATTTGTCCAAAAAGCTGGTGCCTGCCCTGGCACAGGAAGGTCCTCACTCAGGCCAGCTCCTGCCCTTACCTTCCTGACAGCCAGAGGCTCAGCCTTGCTGGGAGCGCTTGCCTCGAAGAAGTTGCGCTTGCTGGCCACCCCCTCCGAGGACAGCAAGAGGCTCTTCTGAATAGTCAGGGATGATTTCACCACCTCTGAGCGCTGGGAGGAGAGAAGGGCATCAGCAGGGGCTGTTCTGCCCCTCAAGTCGTAAAAAGCAAATTCCTGCTTCTGGCTCCCTCCCTGCCCATCACCAGCTCATGGGCTTGCCCCACTGCTTCCCCCAGCAGGACTGTGCAGCATCTCCATGGATATCTCCAATGGATATCCCCTCCCTGCTCCTAAAATCCTGAGGCCGATCCCTTTTTCTGCCTGGGACCATCTTCTGCAACCCCATTAGCGCTGGTTGTTCAGTGCAGCTTAGTCTTTCTCTCCCTTCCACGTTGAGCTACAGGGCACCCCTCTCCCTCTCCCCACACACCTCGCCCACATCAGCCCAGCAATGCCAAGGGGTTTCAGTACCTGCACGGCTGAATTGTACTTTTCCAGCTTCTCCCCAATGGTGGTGTTGCTCCCTGGGATCCTCAGACTCGCACTGGTGAAGAAGAAGGGAGAGAGTTGAACACAGTCCCCTCAGGATCTCCTGCGATTCAGCCCGTGGTTCTTGGGGACTCCACTTGGCAGGAGAAGACCCTGTCCGACCCAGGCACTCTTCCTGCATCCATCTGCCAAGTGAACCAAAGCAGGTCTTTCCCTGCTGGTGACCGAGATCTCTGGGTCTCACCATCTTACAAGGGCCACACAACATGGAAAAATAGCTCTGAGCTCCTCACTTTACCCTGTTTTCACCACTGCCAGGTCTGAACAGCATCTTCACTGGTATCAGTATAAGCTTCCCTATAGTATGCATAGGTGCAAGGTCAGGTGCCTGAAAAGCCCCACTCCCCTCCCCTGCATGCAGAGGTGGGAGAGGACATCCTATCGACTCTCTGCATTCAGACCTGAGCCCTTGGTTCCTGGAGTTTTTAAGTCACCTGTCCAAACCTTGCCATGCAGATGTGGCGGATCACTTAATCTGGCCACAAAAGCCAGATCAGGTTGCTCATGGACTTGTATAGTGGGTTTTGATATCTCCAAGGATGGGACCCTGTTGTGGTGCTGCACTGCTCAACACTTAACCACTCCTGTGCAGACACAACCACCGATGAGACACTACATCAACCAAAAGACTGCAGGGGCTAGCTGGGGGAGTCTTGCACAGGTTCAAGCTGTACGTTGGACATTGTCCTGTCCTCTGCTAAGCATCACTGCCTGGTCAGCCAGGCACCCCAGGGACCAATGTTCAGGAGACCTGTGCCAGGGCACTCACTAACTGGTACCAGGTCCCATCACCTCCTCCTCCTCCCTTGGAAAACAAAGGATGACAATTCCTGCCCAGCAAGACCAAAGTAACATGAAGAGAGGTGCTGACCTCCTTGTGAGAGGGCTTTGGCTTTCTTCCTTCTGTTTTCTTGAGATCACCTGGAAGACACAAGGTGAGAAGATACTGGAGTCCTCTTTGGTTATCAAAGATAAACGTTGGAGAACCTGCCTCAGACTGTTCTCCCCTATTTTCAAGCAAGCTCCATTTTCACCCACACCAGAGCTTATCTCGTATCTCAAAGCTCTCCAGACTAAAGACACTTTGTAGTGCTATACAGTTTTATTCCCAGTAAAGCACCATGAAAGTCAATTAAGCCTAGCCCTGATTCACAACAGGGAGGATCTCAACAGCTCTTGGTTTTCCCAGCCTCTCCTTTATTCCAGAGATCTTTTTTGGGGGGCGGGGCTAGAATTGAAGATATTCTCAGGGATGTAACAAGAGACAAGAAGGAGGGTGGATTTTATTTTTATCCTGAGCTCTCAGAGAAGATCAGAAATGCCAGAGGATGGATGGTGATTCCTGTGACTCTTTAGAAAATCCAAGGACAATGAGCTCCCTGTTTTCTCATCACTTCCCACAAGTTTCCATGCCAGCACAAAGTGTATGGGCACGTTCATCATCACAGGCCTTTGGTCAGACACAGAGAAGGAAAATGGAGGAAAGACTGAAGCAGAACTGCAATGCCCAGGTCAAGGGTGGGTTCTGAATGCACTTTTGGGAACAGGCTCTACCAACAAAACCTGGAGAACAAAGCAACCCTTCTTTCCCGCCATCGTCCACTGCCTAAATGGGGGTCTTTCTCCCACTTGCTTTAGCTCTTACCCGAAAGGAGACAGTTCTTGGGCTAGTTCGTCTGATGGAGCTGCTGTAAGTGACATGAGTTGCAGGAGGATCTGACTTTTCTGGAGGTTCATCTTGGGTGGGAGACAGCTGTATTACCTCCTTTGAGGGATTCCTGGATGGTTGCTGAAGAAAAAGCAGACATCTGATGCATCCCTGCAGAGTTTGCAGAGAAGGTTGAGGTGCAGGGTGCAGAGCAGCCAGGATGGGAATTGGTTTGGAGGCAGGAGTTTGATATCTAAATCCTCCAAACATTGGCTGTCTTGTTTGGAAACACAAAGCCCCAAACACCTCTTCCGTGAAACCATGATGGCAATCAGCAGGGGCTTGCTGGAGAAGGTGATCAGAATAGTACATGCAAAGGAGGGAAAGGAGGTGATGGGACCCTGGCCACCACCTTGTGGTTTGCAGCTCTCAGAAAAACCTTCCCCAAAAGCCCACAGGTACTCCCTCTCTCTGTTGTTCTCCCAGCACCCAAAACCTCCACCCCAAGGACTGGTGTCTTGTCCATTCTTGCTCACCCGCTCGTCCAGAGATGAGGTCACCACTGAGGCTGTCTTCTCCTCCATGCTGCGGCTTCCCTGCCTGGTCAGGATCTTCACTTCACGGAGCCGGCAGCCCCCCACCTCAGGTGATGCCCGCTGCGGCAGCTCTCCCACCTCCTTCTTCTGCTCTCCCCGAGGCATCCCCACACCTTGTCCCTCTTTGTCCTGGAGCCGTCCCCTCACCACCACCTTCCTCTCCAAGGCCAGCTTCGTGTGCTGGTCTCCTGGTGGGTCCCCTCTGCCTTTGGCCACATCCTGATCAGCCTGGATGCTCTCCTGCCCCACGCGTGGCTGCATCCCTTCGTCTGTGCGGCTCACTCCCACGCCTGGCTCCTGCTGCTCCTTCTCCTGCCTCAGCTTTTCAGAGACGGACATTGAGGCCCTTGTCCGTCT